GAGTACCAAAAAAAAAGGGAGAAACTTACTTTGGTGACGACTCGCACAGCAGAAAGTATAGCTCAAAAGGTAGCTTGTAGCAGATTGATCCTCTGATCGTAGCGGTTGCGGAATGACTCTCTCGCACGCTATCTTAAGTCGCCTTTTATAATGAGTGCATGCGTGACTGTGCACAGGATGTTACTTAAAACTTGTAATGTACACCATATGGAAGTGTTAGCTCATTTCCTACGCACGAACTTAGCCTATAGTACACGCACGAATCTGCGAATTCCTAACTAATACGCAGCAAATTTTAGCACGCTTCATCGAAACTAGAACTAACGATTATTATTAGAATATGTCGTAAAAACAGAGGGCGTTTTAAATCTAACAGCAATTGCTCCACTAACCGTTTGCCAAATCCATAAATCATAATGGAAACACAACAACTCGTAATTTAAACCGTAATCGGAAATCTGTGACTTAGTCATCACCATATATGCGATCTTCGAGGTTAATCTAGATTCTTTGCCATCAAGGCTAGTTCTGTACCATCATTTTAATGGAAACAGATTGGGCCACAAAGTGCATTCTACGCATACAGTAAAAACCTGCAAGTAAGAACCTACAGTTTCAGGAGTTAGCCTAAACAGGTTATAAATGGTACTTAACAAAATTTTAGGCCATTTAGTTTCTTAAAAGAGGCTCTTTTTCTTGGAATAAAACACACCTGCATAACAAGTAGGTAATTGTCCTATATTTTGTAACTACATATTTTGCACTCATTTTTCTTAACAAAATCATGTTTTACAGCAATGGCAATCTGGTTTTTCTTCCATTATGATTACAGTAAATAGTTTCAGTGTACCTGTAATGTACTATATGATTTTAGAAAATAAGAAGCTATTTTAATTTTGTTAGGCTAAATAGGTTCTGGTTTATAGGGGGTATAAATGGCAAATTTTAGGCTAACAGGTTCTTCATTTTTAGGTTCTTACTTGCGGGTTTTACAGTACTCTTTGCTGATAATTGTAGGTGTCAATCTTTTCTCTTCGCTGAGAGCACTTTGGCGTTCGTAAACAAATTCCTTGTAGATGGTATCATTTGAACTCATCAGCCAATGATACGCCTTTTGAGATCTTTGCCTTTCTTCAACCAGTAGAGCATCGATCTTTTCTTGCAGTGACTCGGCGCTCCATGTTAACAGAAATATTCTGCCTTTTTTCCTATAGCGATGCGCTGCCCTCTCGTATTCACCGATGTGCACATCGATTGATTGAAGGGCAAGAATTTGATTAAACGACAGCTTTCTAAATTCCTTGGGAATTTGCTTGTATGTCTGAATCAGGTGTACACACCTTGGGCTGAAGCTTAGGTTTTGTGATGAACTTTCAAAAGAGCTTTTCTGGAAGTAATTGTTTGCACTTTTCACAGTAGTTCCAGCTCGAAGTAGTAATCCAAAACTTTAGTGCTTGTGCTTCGTTTCGGAAAGTTGGCTACAAGAATGCAGAAACGACTGTTTGCTGCCATGTTCAAGCAACAATTGTTGCTTTGAAAACGCTTCCCTTTGGCTCTGCAATAGAGACTCTTGATTCATCGTTTCAATCTTGTTGCTAGGACGTGAATCTCTACTAACTGTATAAGACTTCTGTTTAGCCCAAAACCTATTCGCTTCCGAAAAACGCTACTTAAAAGGCATATCTTGCTACTATGCTTGAAATTATCATCAATGCTATATGAAAAAGAAATTCCTTCGGATTTACAGTGTTGATTAAAACAAAAATTAAAAGAACTGGTACATGTCTCTCGCACATTTATTACTTGATAGAGGAATACTCCATGTTTCCGACAACACTAATATCATATTTGGTAATTGTGAAGAAGAGCTCCCTGTAAAACCTACCGATCACAATACACCAAGTTTAAGTGTTACAAGCTCTGTTGAGACAGTCTCAAGACAACTAATGAATAAATTTTCAAACCATTTCAGAAGTATTGTTCACATGACAAAATGGACTGATACAACACCTAGTTATTTAATGGTTGACGTTGTGATAAAACCCAAACCAGATCATATACATGATCATTCCGTGGATATTTGGGTACTCGTTTATGGTTCTAAAGGTTATCACAATGACTTACCAGTTAAAGATGTTTGGGATAAATTCTATAGTACAGTTCATAATGGTTTCATATACTTAAATGCACCACTACTTATTGACAACCCAAAGGATAGCCTCAATCCAGCGACAAAGTATTATGTAGATGAAAAAATAAGAGAAACATCTTTACACTACATAGACAATCGCCAAAATGTTTTCTCAAGAGCAATCGAATTTCAAAACAGCAGTATATCTTCAATTAACTGAACTCAAATAAGAGTGCATTCTAATGAAATCGAAATTCTTAAAACAGGTACATACTCACTCAATTTCAGATTTAATTATCGAATCATTAAAACAGGAACTCACTATATCTTGTATATAGAAACAGGAAATAAAACAAATGTAACCATACAACTGTGACCATACAACTTAGCAGAAACCAACTACTCAAACTTTTAATGATTTTGTCATTTTCAATTTTCAGTCTGGAGCAAGATTAAAAATAACGAATTCATGAAAAACTTTGATTGAAAGAGCTTGTGTTTTATATTTACGGAAATTGAATTAATCTGTCTAATACATATGAAACAAAGAAGTATATTCAATTGGAATCACATATCAGACAAACTGACTAAAGAGCAAATCGATGAATTAAAAAAAAGTTTATATAAATTCTATGACAAAAAATATTGGACATTTAAAATGATGCATAAAATCATGAATAGGAAACATATCATTGGTCAAGTAACATCCGTTGGATTAGTTGCTACTGGAACCATTGTTAGTGGTGTAACACTAAACCCAGTTATCCTTGGTATTGTGTCTGGATCTGGAATAGTATTAAAAACCTTCTTGGAATTAAAGAATTATAAGAAATATATTGAGATTTGTAAGTTTGCTTTCGCATCCTATGGAAAGATATTAACTGATTTGAGGTCATATTTGAGAGGGCTTCAATTTGATGAGCATGTGTTTTTAAATCATGTCAAAGTCATTGATGAATTTATAATAGACATGTGCCCATTTGCAGACAAATATTCTAAAAAATACGATTTTAAATTTGCTGATTAAGGATGGAATCAATTTCATCTCCAATAAGATTTTTTATTTGATACCAATAGTTATATTGTTTAACAGTCTTCTTTGATTTTAAAGCTTTTATTTCATTTGATGATAAATTCATCATATGAATCAGCTTACCAATGTTAAACTTAATTGATATTATCTGTTTTCTTCCAGTGTTTATTTGAGGTTCTATTTCTTCAATAATATCAAATACTTTAAGAATTTTATTTATATCATTTTGAGATATTTGAATTCTCTATGATCATTAATTTCATAAATAACTTTTTCTATATGGTATTTTCTGATATAGAGTGATTTTTTTTGGAATTTGTACATATTGTTATGAAAATCAATGGGCTTGCAATCTTTTAAATCATGACTATGAACCAATCCACAATTAATACAAACAAATGAACCATCTATTAAACTCATATTTTGGTTCTCACAACATTTCTCTTCAACAATTTCATTTTCTTTGATAGTTTTACCACAAAAAGGACAATAACATCTATCATCTTCAAGTAATGCTAAATGAATATTATAATCACACATCTCTTATACTATAAGTAAAATAAAAAAATTAAGCGTTTTAATTTGAAAACAAGATTAAGAAGAAGGCATTTTGAGTCTGTGTTTTATGAGTTTAATTTTTCCAGAAAGTTAAAAAATTTCTGGATTGTTGGATTTTGTCATATCAGTTTACAGATTTATTCCAGATCATTTTTTACAGATTAGAGTTAAATATTTTTCACGGATTATTTCAGATTTTCAGGCCCTAGGGTTGATGCTCTATACCTCTCAAGTACTATACTACTGTTGGTGGAACAGCAATCTCCCTCTCAACTTCCCCACCAAGTTTAAATTTTGGGTATGTCACTTTATAGTAGTCTTTTCCATCCTTTTTATTTTGTTTCCCTGAGCAGATTTTTAGTGAAATGAAGGGAGGCAAGAATATGTCTGAAGAGAAAATAAAAGCAAAAAAGTTCAGACCTTGCTATAAAATTCTCACCAAGAAACTGGTTGTTAATACTATTTTAAGTACAATTTGCATAAATCTTTAGACTAAACATGCATACTTTCAATGGATCCACTGTCGGTACTAGATTTTCATCACCTGCAAAATGTGCCTAACCAGGAGAAGCAGACCATCTTTGGGTGGAAGTGGTTAAGGGTTCAATGGAACCCTTCCAGAGAGCTAGTCTGAGCATCTGGGGACAGCTGTTTGATGTCATTTACAAGCCTTGTACCAGTCAATAGCTTGTACAGTTTATTTTATGCAGTAGTTCCTTACAAGAAAAGAAAAAGCAAATTAATTTCAGAATTGGATAAGAGGTCAACCCTCGGCTTACAATTCCTGTCTGCAACCTCAATGACATGTGGCAGTGGGCTTTTTTGTGGATGTCATAAATTGTTATAGGGCTCTCTCTCACAAGGACTGGGATGCACTCTAACTAGGTTTTTCTTTACTGTGAACTGTCAATATGGAGGATTGATAGATTTTCTAACCTTATATTAAACAAGACCTATCCTGATCCACCATCGGTTATCAATCTCATCATGTGAACACTTTTTGAAAAGTGTAGAGGGATGATTTTCATGTTTGGTAGCAACATGCACCATGAAAGATTTCCATTTGGCTGTGATCATCTCCTGAAAAGCCCTCCTTGGTGGATGTTGCACACCAGTACAGGTGGTTGTGGACTCCTTTTACCCAGTCAGCTATCTTCTCACAGCCCTTCTCTTTGCCCAGCTGCTGCATCTTTCCAGTGGATCAAGAAATGGGCAGAACCTGGCTGGCTTTTCCATATCCACTTGGCAATGCCCCTATGCCGATCAGATATGAATAGTAGAACTGCGAGGCCCACTGATTGGAGATATGAAAATGCACGCTTAGCTCCCTCCAGCTCCATTTGTGAACTCCCACCAGTCTCATTTGCCTTTAATACATTTACAAATAAATAGGGTGACCATGTTATTGCAATTGAACAGTAAGTACTTCCCTTAGCAAAGACTACTGTTTTGAGTTCACTAAAAGATGAATACAACAATGTTTCTTCAAAAATGTACCAGAAAAACAAGTAGGGCATAATGGGCATGATGTGTGTATCTCAATCAATCATTATTATTTTCAGGAATAAGTGACAGGGCATATTTTCTGGGAAAAGTCTTGTTATCAACTTATTTCATTCCTAAAGCAGCTATACAGCTGTACTACCCTTC